AAGTGATTATTAAGTTTTGAATATGGATATTTTTCTTACAAAAACGCATGGATTTGCTACAGGAGGCCTTTGTTCATCCCCCGGAGCTGTGTGAGACACTTTTTTTAATGGATGGGCGCTTTTTATTTCACTTCTTTTGGACTGAAGCACTGCAACACCCGCTGACTGCAATGATAGAGCTTGGAAACGCCAGGACAATTTTTAATATAACTCCGACTGGATTCGTCTGAAAGAAGAAAGTCATATACACCTAGGATGCCTCTGGGGTGAGTGAAACACAGCCTAATTTTCATTTTTGGGTGAACTAACCCTTTAATGACAGAATTTTCATTTTTGGGTGAACTAACCCTTTAATAGACCGCCTCATGCTTGTCATTCTTTAAAAAGTGGTTCTGTTTAGCCCCCTACAGTCATCTATGTAACAACTTAGTTAAAGCTCAAACAAAATCAGAGGTTATGGCTAGCACTATGAAATATGCTAAAACTTCCATTATAGTGTTTTATCTAGCCCCCTATAGCTAGTCTAACTATATAACAACTTGAATAAAGCTTAGACAATAATCAGAGGTTATGGCTAGCACTATGAAATATGCTAATACTTCAATAGTGTTTTTACCTAGCCCCCTATAGTTATTCTAACCATATAACAACTTGAATAAAGCTGAGACAATAACCAGAGGTTATGACTAGTACTATGAAATATGCCCGAACCATGCCAGTACTCCAATAGTATTTTGTCTAGCCTCCCATAGTTAATGCAACTGCATAACAACTTAACTAAAGTCAAGCAGTTAGTGTGTATTGTCCGTTTCAGAAGGTTAAAGTGTCTGAGGTTCTGTAAATCTTACACTTACATGAAATGCATATAAATTTTAGTTGTCATGCTATCGTCTATTATATGTCTTATATTATATTTAAATGCTTAGTTTTATGATCAAAGCTCAGTAGTTTCAAATTTTAGTCAATCACAGAAAAAGCCTCATGTGTCATATTTGATACTCACATTTGAACATGATTTGTTAAAAAAAGATGTATATGAATAATCAAGTAAACTTTGATAAATCAAAAAAGTTGCTTCAGTACATTAAGTGTTCGTCTTAAATTACTAACAATATAAAAGTTATTCTTAGGTTTACATTATAAGAATCAACAAGAACAACTATAGATGCAGCAGGTTCTTAGCAAAGCTTTGATCATGTTAATTTTGAAGGCTAAATATGATACGGTAGGCTTTATAGGGTTGATAACACTGTTCAGTATAATCTTTAGCAAATCTCAAAATATAAATTTTTTTTATACTGGGCATCATAATGTTGTGATGCCTAAATTTACTTGTAGCATTTAAAACGATTGCAGTTTTTTAAATGAATTTAGACAAAATAAGATTGTTAATATGGGCCAATTATCGGTAATTGGCCATAAAATAAAACTATTATGATTACTTTAAGGAAGAATTTTAATATCCTAAATATCACATTCAATGGTGAGTCTGAAATAATACGAGTTTTGTTTCTGGTGCGGCAGACTGCATTATGGAAAGTCCTGATAGAGAGTGTTCAAGGTAAAGCTGTTGTTTGCATTTGCGTGATTTATTCTGTGCTCTCATGCTTGCAGTGTTTCTACTGAATCTCTCATTTATCTACTTCCCACAGTCCTCCCCAATCCTAGTTCTTATCAGTAATAATAACACATCTTGTTCTCTTTCTCATGCTTTGTTTCTCAGTGGAGCTCAGATTCTGAGGGCAGTGCTCAGTCGAGTGTTGGTCCTGAATCTCAGCTGACGAAGGGCTGTGTTGGACTGCGTAACATGGAGAATCATAACTCAGATCAGCTGCAGAAAGTCGATTCAAAACCCTCGGACACTGTTCCATTTTACACTCCTATCCAACAGGATCTAGAGGCCAAAGTTCGCCAGATTGCCCTTAGAGAGGGGCTCAGTTCCCAGCCTTTTACTTCTATTACTATATCAACCACTCGCCGCACTCCGTCTCCACAGTCACCATCACATTGCCCTATCACTGCTACTGAGGAATTGGACAGTGTTGGTCCTGACCATGAGACTTTAGAGAGCACGAGCCAAATGAGACTTCAGCCAGCTGTTATACCTAATGTATCAGGCAGAGAAAAAGAGACGGTGAGAGAAGAACAACATAGTGAAGAGAAGAAAGGAGAAGAAATGACTGATGACAACAAAGAGAACATTATTACGAATGATCCCCGGAGTATCCAAAGAATACCTCACATGGGCTATAATGTCACTGCCAGTAACCAGATATTATCCAGTGCTGCATCGGATTCAACCTTTGACAAGAAGTCCCATCTCTCTCACATACACGTCACCTTATCACCCAAACCCAATCACCAGTCAAATCCAAACTACTTAAGCAGACTATCCAGTCAAAACACCAGTAAAGATGTCCCACCTCCAGTGGTGTCAGGCGTGACTGGTGAACATCTGCAGTCCATACACCGAATCTCAAAATCAAATCATGCCAGATCATATGAACACAGAGAGCCAGTTCAAGGCCAGAATGCAGGAAGCGTCAGTGCACACTTACAGGCCAGATACCCACAAACCTTTGCTCTCTCTCAGAGACTGGCTGGGACATCCAGAACTCTCTCTGTTCAAGCAGGTATATGATGTACATTTTATATGCTTTTCAGTGGCATTTGGTGTTGGTAAATTAATCAGTTGATTTATTTTTCTTTATGTACACTTTCTATAGCTGTCCCTGCCCTGTTGCCATACAAACCTCATGGAAGCTCCGAGCTGTTCTACATCCCGCAGGCTGATCCAGAGCTCTCTCCTGGTCACTCTGACACAACTGTAGAAAGCTCTCACCCTGGTATGTCACAGAGAACTTTACTCAGTTATTACTCTACAGCATCCTACGTAACATTACCGGTTTATATAGTCGCAATCGCAATATTGGTAAAAAAAAATCGCAATTTGATTATTTTCCAAAATCGTTCAGCCCTTATAGAATGTGACCGAAGTTCCTGTTTTGATTCTACAGCTACTTACTAAATGAATAACTAAATGGATATTATTGGATATTTGAGTCAAAAATTTAAAGGCACGAAACTAGCACAGATCTAAGGAAGTTGTTTGCTCGGGCTAATTGCCAGCACTGTTTAGTTTTCATTAAAGGGGACATAACATACATAGTTTCTGCCAATCTTATGTTAATCTTGTGTACCTATAGAGTAGTATTGCATCCTTCATATCTCCGAAGCGTCTTTAGTTTTATCAGATTTATAAAAGAAAGAAGCAGCTGTACCGCTTCTCTCCGAAATCAGTTGAGCTCCTGGAGGCGTGCTGTGGGTGGAGCTAAAGAGTCGCGAGCATGCATAGCTTTTGCGTAGCGATTGTCTGCATGCGAATATTTGACAACAAAATGCCCCACTTAATGAAATAAAAGTCCTCCTGGGAGCTGTGTAATAAGGCTATTTAAAGTTGTCATAAAATGAAAATTCATCCTTTTCATTTTCTAAATACATGCTATTGATCTTATAGTGAACAATTTTTTTTAGCTTAAATTTTTTTTTTTTAGTATTGTAATCTTAGTACTTCACCTAATTTGAGTTTATTTGCAAAGTTCGCCAGGCTTCTCCAGTCATTTAGTCTGCCTAAACCCCGCCCCTTTATTATTGTTGACTGCAAGATTATATTCAGATCTGCCTCCATCCAAGTATCAACAAATGGATTGAACTAAGTTCCTGCCCTACATTTTTTTACAACGTTATTTCATGGACTACTCAGTTGTACAGAGGATATTACGGATACACTATATAGATTATTAGAGGATACATCATTGCTGGGCAATTTTTTAATTCATGTGCACCGGTTTTGTATCACAGAGCTCTGATATAAAAAAGGACAAATTTTCCATACATAATCAGTGATTGAACATACATTTTTTTTTACTTGCACCTCTA